ACTAACTAACTAACTAACTAACTAACTAACTAACTAACTAACTAACTGTAACTAACTAACTGTAACTATGGACATTCTCCCATCAAATGAAACAAACAACACTGTTAAATGATCCTAATGATCATTTTAAAGAATAGTCTTTTTTTGTCTTATGTAACTGAAATTCTATTTAATTTTTCAAAGTGATAAGCCATAATTGCCATGTGGAAATTTGCAATAATGGGATGGTAAAGGTTTTCCCATATCTAAATGTTTTTTTCATATAAACATCTTTTGGCTTGGATTTCAAGGAAGTAATCATTTTGGTTGTTGCTGCATGCACATTCAAAATGTGGAACATTTAGAAGAATGTCTCTCAGGAGAGTTCAGTCCAGTTTCTGTTCCATTCTCCAGGTGTGTTTTGCAGAACACGGTGTCCTTTAATGAGGTGCAACTCCTAAGAGGGCATTTAATGTTTTGAATGCTCAATGCGCTGCTGTTAATGCGGCCATCACAGAAGTCTGAATGACATTATCCAGACACTTTAATGCAACCTCCCACTAGTACAGACATTTTTGTATTAGTTGTTGGCACTCCAAACATACATTTCTTTGAATAAGTTATCTGGAGCACAGATTCTGGGGCCCATGACACAATCGTCCACCTTGTGGTGGTCCATTCCAGATTCCTCTGATTCAAGAGAACCTGATGCTGTCTCAGGTTTAAATTTGGATTTAACAACCTGTCAGTGTATTTATCTCAGCTATTCATGACCATTATTTCAGTAAGAAGTGCAGGTTAAAGGATTGGAGTCACATGTCTTGCCTATCATACACTTAAAGTTCCTTCTCATTCACTGATGTGATTATTGGTATAAGCAGTAGAATGAGAGCGTATTTTTCCTGCTATTTGTTTTCCAAATTTGTTTGGTTTGTCCCCAAATATTGTGTACATTTCCATAATTTTCTTGTGGACTGTATAAAGAAACATTAATGAAACAAAGTGCGTTTTGCTATCCTATTTTTTGGGCCACAATGTGTTTGAAAGATGCTATTTAAAACAGTTCATTATAAATATTTTTACCATAAAAAAAGTAGTTTCTGAAAGTTATTTAGAATGAATGAACAGCAGCAGTATCAGATCATTTTTAAATCCACCCATCCGTTTACTACAACTACCCGAGATGTCCAAGCCTATCCCAGCTGTCTAGCTTTCTGTCATGCAGCAGAAAAAAATACTCCAATCGAACGTGTGGACCACCGGAGAGTGGTCGACGATACAGTATCTCGAGGAGCTGGAATATCCCGGAGTGCACCTGAAGGCAGCATGCGTTTAGCTTAACAACCAGCAGGAGCGGTCGCGAGCGGAGATCAGCAGGGAGGAACGCGCAGCTTCCTGGAAGCCAACGGACAACACGAAGCCTATCTCTCTCTCTCTCTCTCTCTCTCTCTCTCTCTGACACACTCACACACACACACGCACTCAGACGCGTACAGAGGCCTGGGCGTGTAGGGGGAGGTTCGGGCATGTTTTTTTTTCAGGTAGCTAGCACGTGAGGGCGGGCGACGTCGACGCTGCCGCTGTGACGTCCGGCGACGCTGAGCTCGCGGGTCGGGCACGCGAGCGGACTCTCGTCAACAACACATGGGTGCGCGAGGGAGCCTCGCGCGGAGAGGAGCACTGCGGCGGGCCACGCGCACAGGTAAGGGTCTCTCAGTTCGGGGCCTTCCGTCTCCCTTCGGGCACGTCAAACGCGTTCGTTTGTCCAAACGCGTCGAGCTTGTCCACTCACTGGACACTGCAACCTTAAGGTAGTGGGATGCAGGTGTGTCATTTTTCCTTCCACGGCACAGTGGCCGTTTGTGGGGAAAAGCTGCAGCCTTTTCACCAGGAAGACCTGTTTTTTTTCTCTCTCCCCCCTCCCTGATAAACACTGATGCTTTTATGCTAACCCCCTTATTTAACCTTCCTCTGAGTGTGGAATACCTTTTAGACTTTGAACCAGGACATCATTTCTAACCTAAAAAGCATTGAAGCTCGTAGTTTAAAACGTGGGCTTTGTGGAATGGGGAAGAATTCAGTTTTTAGAAATGCCTGTACTGGCAGTGACGCTTTAGAATGGCAACTCTCTGAAAGCAGTTTTCACCCTGGAGCTTAATGTGTCAGTCTTTAATATGATGGCCGTGTTCCATTTGAAGCACATAGTGTTGAATCAGTTTGGCATTTTGCCTCAAAACAGCTCTGATCCGTAGTTTTCCTGATTTGTCTTGCAAATTCCAAGTCTGACTTCAGAGCTGATCTGTGACAGAAGCCTTGCCGTGTTATTAGAGATGGCATTAGAGTTGCCACTTAGCGATGGGCAAAGGCTGTTATTTTCCCACGTGAGACCACAGGGTTGGTGAGACACTCAGGGGGGACAGGACAAGCTGGCAGAGTTGTGGGATGATGACTGCAGCCAGATCAGCCCGTCCGTCTGAAACCTGCATGTGACCATCGACTATGACTGTGCAGGATCGGCCCTGTTCTGCCCTCCTTGCTGATCAATAGCACATCATAAAAAATTTAGGACACCAGTGGCGGCGGCTGTATCGATCAAACTGCTTCAAAGTTTCCTGCCAACTAAGGACATCGTGTGTTTGGTGATGTGTGATTTTCCCATGTGACCCAATTCTGTGTCTCGTCTGAACGAAGCTATCCACTAGATTTAAATGCAAATCCCAGATGACTGCAATATTCCTTATGCTTTTTGGGTTTGAAAGCTAAAGGAATCATTTTAGGGGGATGGTTACTGTTCCATTTAATGCCGATCTGGGCTTCTTATCAACCAGTTACCTGTACCCTGTTGTCCCAGCATCGGCATCCAGTTCATGATGGCTGAGATCCAAACAAACTTTCCTACCTTATGTGGTCAGTCGGTCCCGCACTGACCGACAGAATCAGCACTGAAATTTGTGGCATTCTACTGAACGAGTCTTGTCACCATCAAATTTAGATCGTCACCATTTTTTTCTTTTTTTTGTGGACAAAAGTGGCCATCACTTTTTGAATTTTATGAGACTTGCAATGTACTGTGTACTATAAAAAGACATTTAAACAGACAGGTTTAGTTAAAACATTTCCAGAATTATTTGTTTCCTTTTAACTGAGGTTCTTTAACATATTTCTCCATATTTCTGTTTTGTTGTGCACGTACTGGTTGCTCCGCTTATTGTTTTTCTCTGTTTACAGTAATGCTGTGACAAATGACCAACTGGTTCTAAAAGATTAATCCAGAGCTTCTCAGTTACTGTAAGCTCGCTAAATCCATACCTCTGACTCTGGTCTTAAAAATTGAAGCCTTATTTAGAGCGACCACAAAGTATTATTGGGCAATGTGAGTCGGTAAAGCAGCGATCAGAAACTGTGACTGTTTATCTGAAGGGGAAGGGAGAGTTAAGTGTTGCACAAACCTTGTGCAAACACACAAGTCTTGTTTCTGCTTTCAGCAACATGGAGGCTTTAGATCCCCTGCGTCACCAGCAGAAGGTTTAGAAGCGGCTTGATTCCTCCGTTCGTCCCTCCCGGGCCTTCCTCAGACGCGCCATGACCAGCGGGGGTCCCGCCCCGGGCCGAGAGGCCCCCGAACCGGAGCCGGGGACACCCGGGTCTGCTGCCGGCGTCCGGCGTGGGCCCGAGACCTTCTGCAGGCTGTGCCTTAGCCAGCAGCCCACCGCAGCTTCCAAAGAACTGCAGGGCTGCAAGTGCATCTACTGCACAGCGGTAAGTCCAAACCGTCGTCCGTACCTGTTTAAAAGATGCTCCTAGTCAGATATCTGAGCAGCTCAAACTAGAAAAAAAGTGTACAGAGGCTATATAAAGACCGCCGTTGATCATGCTTTATTACCGAGTAGGCGGAGAGGATTTCTCAAGTGTTACAACGTTATTTTAGTCATTTAGGAAATTGGCCAACACTTTTTTGGAACGATAATCCTTTTTTTTTTTTTATTGCAGCAAGGTTTCAGCTTGAAGACCTTAAAATAGATCATTTCAAAGGAAATGAATATCAAGCAGAATATTCTTCCCTCTTAGTGAAATAAGTGGTTTGACCAGCTTCCCTCAACAAAAATTCCCTGGAATTTCTCATGAAAAATTGTCCCAGTTATGGAGTTTTTCTTTCAAACCACTCCCAGTTTTTGTCCTCTTATGAGAGGACTCTGAAAATCTTTCAGAATACAGAACAGCATTGTTTGTAACCGGACTACAAAGCTCGGGTCCAGCGCCCGCCCGGCATGTTAAAACGGAGTGGATTCCATAGCAGCCAATCCTAGTCGGTATGACTTTTGTGATTGCCATGTCAACACAGCCCATATTACGCTCGGCTTCCTTGCCCCGTGGAGCAGTCAGAGTTTGTTGTATTTCGATATGTTGTTTACCGTCTTTCAGGCAGGTTGGGTTTGCCGAGGGGGGATTGGGACAGGCAGTGGAATGTCACGAGGGGCAGGTCGGGGTCTCGCTGCTCGGTGGAAACGTCTTGTCTAATTTAGCCTCCTTGCGCTCCGCTCTCCAGTGTCTGCAGCAGTATGTCCGGCTCGCCATAACGGACGGCGGGGGGGCACCCATCACCTGCCCGGACATGGCCTGCCCAAAGAGAGGAGTGCTGACAGATTCCGAGGTATGCCCTGCTCAGACGTATTGGTCAGATGGGTAACCAAAGAAGAGAAAAAAACAAAAACTAATGCACATTGAGGGTGTGTTGGTTTAGTGGTTTGCTCTGGTTGTGGAACATTCCTAGAATTTTTACTTTGCACACAAGCGCCTGCTGTCACCCTTCCTAAGAAAGAAGAAGGTGGGATTTCCCCCCTTGTTGTTTTCCTCATATTCACTGTTGTGAAAGAGCTGCGGTTCGACAATTTGAGGAAATTCCTGTTGCGTGAATTCAATTGAAATGACATTAGATGAAAAGCTAAAACAAGAGAAAAACACAAAGTGTGCACGCCGAGTCTTTTCCTAATTGGGAAAAAAAATCGATTGGCCAATAGTGAAATGAGGCAGATGCTGAGTATGCAAAACGGTGGCCTCATATGCATTCATGTGAAAGATCAAGGTGAAAATTGAGCATATATGTAAAGTGGGACAACAATTCAGTCCGTTTGTATTTTGTGACTGCCCCCCCCCCCCATTTCTCACGCCAGTATTACCATAGTCTCACTTTCACCTTGACCAACAGATATGTTTGAGGGGTTTCCCATGTGACTCTATCACCTGTCACTGATTTGAATATCCAGATGTCGGATTTTCTTCTCTTAACAGCAAACATGTAAAAGGGATCAGAGGTGTGTGTGTTTGTGTGTGTGTGACTGGAGCCGCTCCCTGTGCTTTGTGGTTGCAGATAGCCAGTTTGGCCGTCGCAGGGCTGGCCGAGCTGTACCAGCGTCTGAAGTTTGAGCGAGGTAGGTTTCGTTGCATTCCTGTCCTGATCGCCCATGATAGGCGGTGACCTATTTCAGGTTCCACAAACAAGCCACCAAGTGTTTACCCTCACGTGTCTGGGATATGGTGGAGCCCGCCGCCCTTTCCCCCCCCCCCCCCCCCCCCCCCCCCCCCCCCCCCCCCCCC